TTTATACTCATTGGTAATATTATATTTATGATTATTGTTTTTAAATATTATAGCATGATTTTGCATATTATTTTTTTGAGTAGGTTAGGTTAGAATGGTATATCTATAACATATGTATAATTCTAGACCATTTATTATTAATTTTTTTTTTTTTGGAGTTAAAAGTTCCTAAGTGAAAAAACTTGTTCAAAATAATGTTGAATAACAATTTTAACAAGGGTGAAAAACTAATTTTGATGGAATTGTTCATGTTTTTGTTTTTATTTTTTTAATTAATATCTTTCAACTGTCAAAATTATTTTCTTCTTGAAGAAGGGTAGTAATGATTAATAAATTCATACTAGTTTAGGATTTTTTCGGATATACTGAGCATAGAGTTAAATTAAAGTCTTACAAACTGTAAGAACATATGTATTTTAAATAGGAAACTTCAATTCCAGTGGGATAATTTCATTAATTGTAATTCCTAGTGTTCAAATATAAATTTGAACAAATACCTAAGATGATTTTTTAAAAAACTATTTTTAATTAGTTTTATCACTTAGGAACTTAATCAAAAATAAAACGAATGTCCTAATGTACACAATGTTGTTGGATATAAGTAATATTATTTTATGATTATGTAAAAATTAAAAATATTTTATATCTGTCTATTCCAAAAAATATATAAATTAGTCTTAATAATATATCTAACAATATTTAATAATACCTATAGAAAATAAATAGTGTAAAATAGCTGTGGTTATGGTTATGGCTTACCTTTGACAATTGATCTATATACTGATTAATTTTTTCTTGTAAATTGTGTCATCTGTTGTGATTTGATTCAAAATAATTGTTGAGACCTGAAATTTTCGTCTTTTGCGTTATTTATAAGCATTTAAATTTTTTTTTAAGTTTTGATTTGGTTTAATGTGGATACCAGATGCGTCCCTGAGTGGGCGTTGGGGGCTATCTCCCCCCACCCGAGAGAAGTGGACTTACATTGGCATTTGACATAGTCATTGGTCCAGAATTATATATATTAGATATAATCTTTTATATTATTTACATATTTTTTTAGATTTTCAGTGTAGTAAAGAATGGTTTTACAAAGATGATGATGATTATTATTTTTTTATACTATATATAAAATATTTGTAGAGATTTGAAATTTAGACAGAAAATTTATGTTTGACTTTTATAGACTAGACGTATGTAGTATATTATGTTGTTTATGATGATAATTGATGAAAATCAATAGCTGTACTATGTTCAAATGAATTTTTCTTTAGCAATATTTTATAATAAAGTAGATATAAAAATTAATTAGGTAACTCGGAAAAACTAGGATAAAACGTATAAAAAACGGGACATTTTCGAAAATAATGTTTATATTATTTTTTAAATTGTATTATTTGTTGTAATTTAGTTAAATATATTAGTAGACTTAAAATTTGGATAGAAAAATTATATTTTTTTCTTTTAGACATGATGCAATTTTCAAAACACTTGAACCATTATTGAGATTTTTATACAAAATTCAATTTTTCATTGAAATTCAGCAAAAATTTTGAAATAAACTTTATGAACTTAAAATATAAACACAAAACTTAAATTTGCCTTTTTTAGACGTGGTAAAATTTTAAAAACATTTTAATTTTGTGTTTTTTGCGTAATATTTATTTGGTAGGTATTTTGTTGTAAAATTGTTAGACAAAACAGAAATGCGAAAAAATATAACAATTCATTAAGTCTTACATTGCGGTAAAAAAAAAAAGAATTGAGATTAATTTAGTATTTTTTTTTAAAGGAATTTTAATATCAAATTTTGACAAAATTCGTTTGAGTGAAGATTATGTGGAACAAATCTAATTTTAGATTCTAAGTGGAGTGAAGAAGCTTATGGTTTTACAAAAAAAATCGGTGTGGGAAAGTACTTTAGGGAGGTCATTTTGTGATTTTCTTAGGAGTTTTCTCGCGAAAACCGGAAAATTTATAAAATGTATTAGTTGAAAAATATTACAGCTTTCTTTTTTCTTATGAACAACTTTTCTACCAGCAATTTTGCTCAGATTTATAAAGATAGTATTTTTTTGAAAGGAGGTTGTTTTTCGATTTTCTCCAGAGTTTTCGCAGAAAATGAAATTCGGATCAATATTAAACTTATATTATTAAAGAAAATATATAGTGCCCATTTAATTATTTTACTATGTCATATATATTGTTGACAAAGCATCACTATCAATCGAACTCCGCTCAGAATAGTATTATCGTTATCAATGGTTAATCGTTGCTTACAGATATACATTAAATTCTCGTCTTAATTCTACCTTCCCAACTTCCCACCTACAACAGTGGCTGCACCCCTCCTCATTATCTTAGGACACCTTTTTTTCATGTGGTTTTTGACTTGAAATTTGAAACTTTTATTTTATAAGTTCAGTAGTTGGCCGAACCTTACACTGTAGCAAAGAACATAATCTGTCACATAGTTTCTTAAATTTAAACCTAAACCTCGTTACACAAGACTAGGCAAAAATAAAAATTACAAACATTAAATTGTTTTTACTTCTAAAATAATAGTTTCTGATTGTACTATCATCTTTACGTCTAAAACCAAAAGTTTTATAACTATTAAATTGTAATTAATAAATACGCGTAACAGAAAAAAAACAAACTTTTTAAGTTTTCTTTTATAACTTCCAAATGAAGTTCATCTGGTATTTTTTAATATTTTAAGTAGGTGTCCTGGGATACTGGGGATGGGTGTAGCCACTGTTGTAGGTTGGAAGTTGAGAAGGTAGGATATAGACGATAATTTATTGTATATCTGTTAGCAATGACTAATCATTGCTAACATAGTGTTGCTTTACCAACAATATATGCCATATTATGGTAAAATAATTACATACGCATTAAATATTTTCTTTAATAATATTTGTACCTGTTTTCCCGGTTTTTCTGATTTATTGAGAAAACTTTAAGAAAAATCAAAAAATGACCTCCTTAAAGTACCACTCCAATCAGATTTTCTTTCAAAAAAAGTTTAACACTAGTTAATCGGAGCAATATTTCTGGTAGAAAAATCGTTCACAGCCAAAATAAAAAAAAACTAAACATCAATGTAAACATAAACATCTTCGCTCCACTTAGAATCTAAAAAAAAAAGAAAAAAAATGTAGGTGAGCTAAACTTGTATTATGCCATCAAACAATGAGTTGCATTTTAGTAGATTAATTACCTATAAAAGGTAAATAAAACTAACCAATACAATTATTGATGTTTCCAATGTAGGTGTAAAAGATGAATTATTTTTAAATTATTTTTTTTTAAAAAGTAGTTGCACATTTTGTTTATTAGATAAATTTGAGTTACCCTAAATTTTGTAAAGATAGGTACACTTAATTTTCAGTCATTTTAAAAATTTGATTTTTTCACAATTTTAGAAATAATATTTCAATAAAATATACGTTTTATTTATTTCATATTTATAAATGTTTAGGTGTTCTAAGTAAACACGTGGTTGTAGTTGTGTAGTGTCGACCGCCTTCGCGAAATAGCGTTTTGATTTATGGTTATAATTGGATGTCTTTTGTGGCTGATTCCTTGTACTCACTTATTGTGCATTATACTCCTATTATACAATTAAAACTGTTTGTAATGACATCACATACAATCTATCTTAGTACAACAACCGAATCTGTTGATTTCTGTGTCAGTTATAAGTAACTAGGTACAATATACCCATCTTGTTATTGTATTGTAAAACAATATCAATTATTATTATTGTTGTATAAATAACAAATAAAACTTCTACCTTTTTAATAGTTCTTCCAATGTCATAAATAATGCTTATAAATTAGATACTTATACAATTTTTTAATATAATAATTTTAAATCTTCAAATAATATTCCAAAGCTATGTATTACAAGAGTTAGAAAATTAAATTATTTGTATTAAATAAATTGTAGATAGAAACATTCCTATCAACAGTGATAAGAATTTATAACATTTAAAATTACATAAATATGTATTATAATATTCCCTAAATACCATATAACATATAAATGTGAACAATTTTTTTTTATTTATTATGTGCAAATAACCAATTCATTAATTGCATATACAGCTAACTACACATATTATAAGAATTTTCTAATAGAATATTACTATTTAATGATTTTGGAATGGAATGATTGAAATATATATATTAAAGTTAAATTTTGAATGCTATTTTATTCTTTTCAATATCTAAATGATATATGATAATAATTTTAATTGATTTATTTTAGATAAATTTGTTTTTTTTTTTTTTGTAATATTCAAACATTTTTAAGCTTTATAATAATTACAATTAATGAGTCACTTAAATAAGTTGAATATAGTTATAATGTGTAGGTAAGGTTAGTGCAGTATTCTAACAAGTAACAATGTTCTGTTAACTGTATGTTTGTATTTGGGATATTTAATTTTATCATTTATAACTATTGTTAATTACTAATTGCTGTTATTATACCAGTATACCACGAGTGGTTAGTCTATGTTTAAAATTTCCCACATAGATAGAAACAAATATTTGGCACTATGTCTAGCATATTTTGCCAAATATTTTTATTTAAATAACTTTAATATACATTTTTTTTATTACAAAATCACTACATTTACACATATGTTATTTTGTGTTTAATTTCAGCTATATCACTTATTATAAAATAATGTGTTTTATTTATTTAAATGTCTATTTAACCAGTAATTTATATATTAATGTATATATATATATATATATATATTTGGTCAAATTTATTTATTCTTTAAAACAAATTATTTTTTTTTGCAGGGTGTTTTTTAAATTGTACCAATACAAATATTTTCATTTTTTTCCTCATTTTTCATTTTTTTAAGAAATAATGTATTGTTTGTGTTGTTCTATTTTTATAAATGTTTTTATTTATTTAAATTGTATTTTTCAAAGCCTATAAATTATCGTGTTTATTTATTCTAATAAATTTATAATTTTTTATTAATACCTATTATTAAAAATGAGTAAAAACATTGAAAATAAGGAAATGAAGACATCTGGTTTACGACCACCAACAAAAATCCCTACAATGGGAGTGTCAAGGTTACCTAGCTCATCTTCTATCAATCTTGGTGAGTCAATTTTTCATAGTTTATTTTAAGTTGTCATGATTCTAAAAATTGTTATGAATAATAAACTATAACTTTTGATCTTGTTTAAAAATTAAAGTGCTATAATATTAAGCTGAAATTGGTTTATTACAGAGATGTCAGACGTCAGTTTTTGCTACTGTATTTGTATATATCAATATAATACAGCTTTTATTATTATTTAATGATATGTTGAAATGTATAGTAAAATGATAAATTGAGTTCGGATGTACAAATAAATATTAAATACATGTCAATATCTTGGGAAGGGGGCCACTCCTGCAACACCTTCACAAATGAAAAAAGTTTGTAGGCGACCACTGCAGTGCACCTGTACTTACAAGGTTATGGTCATCATTTGTTGTTGTTCTTTAGTCGAGTGTTGTTTGTAAATAATCAAATAGTTCAATTAAGTGTACAGTATCGATATATTAGAAGAGATGCCCAATCCTGTAATCGAAGAAACTATTGTACCAAGACATTTGGATTTATTCTGCCGAGTAGATGGTAGAACTACTGTTTATTATTTTTATTTACTTTCACATATAAATAATATTTATATATATATATACATTATACAATATACACTTATGTATATATAACCTATATACATATGTGCTGCATACACGGAAAGTAAAATAAATTTGTGCCATACTAATAATCTATTTACAGTAAATACATTTTTTATATTAAAATTTTTGATTTTTATCTGGTCATCTTAGTCATTTTGAAAATATTTTACACAGTTTAAATAATAAAGTATAATACATATTTTTCTGTATTATATTATATCTGAATTTGATTACATAATATATTTACCTGTATAAACACAAGTATTAAATTTAACTATTGTATGTAAGGATGGTCCATTACTTTTTTTTTTCAATTTGATAACTTTAAAATATATATATATATATATATATATATATATATATATATTGCTTATTAAATTCGGTAGTTTTTGTTTCTTACTTTGTAAAATTCCTGGACCCCCTCTGATATAACCTAACTTTTATGCTTACACGATAGAATTTAGGAAAAGTTGTTAGATCAGTACTTCATTGTTTATATTTATAAATGTTAAATATAATAATATAATATATTTAAATTAAATATAATATTTTTGAATAATGCAAACCTATACAAAATTGAAAATATTATTACTTAATATTTTAGAATATAAAATTATCACTTTTCAAAATGTATGTTAATTTTTAATTCATAATAAGTTTGTATTTATTTTTAAAATTATATACATAGGGTTTTCCACAAGTTATGTTATGATTATCAAGTAGGTATTTTAAAAAAAATGTCTTTAAATTAAATGAAAATTTATCTAATTTAATATTTAATAAAATCCTAAATTATTGCATCCATTATAGTAAAAAATTAAATGGCCTAACAAAGTTATAAATAATTATTATGTCTATATCCTGTTATTTGAAAATAAACTTGGAGAACATAGAATGTCTTCCCACACAATAGGTGTGTATACTAATACGCCTACATTTTTTTTATTTGGTGGGTGATTTTAAACTTATGACCTACTTGTATTAATTTAAATCTAAATACTAAATAATCCGCTATAGAAAATATTATTGAACAGTTTTCTATTTTAGGTATTTTGTATGTTGAAAACATTTGTATGTTTTTTTTAAAAATTTATTTTTAATTTTACTATAGGTATTATTTTTTTATTGTTTATATCTATAAGTAATCATAATAATTAATTGACATATCATTATAGATGGAGTAAACTCTACTGCGATTAGACTAGACAGGGGTTCTACAACCAAGAAATCTGCAACAGGTAATAATAATAATTTTTGAAGTGTTATTTATTAAAAAACTTATTATATTTATATGTATATATATTATGAATTAATAAGCATGTTGTTAAAATAATATTTAATTTCTTTTTCTGGTTTTAAAATAACTATAAATCTAAAAATTATTATATTATTTTTGTATGGTATTCTATAAATACAGGATGTCTCAAGAAGATATACCCATTATAAAATCTCCAGGAATAAAAAAATAATCAAATTCTTTTTTGTTTTCATATTACTCGTAGGAAAAGGGACTACAAATATTTTCATTTCAATTAATTTTATAATTTTTTAAAGACTGTTTTATAGAGTTTATTCTTCTGAAAATTTTGATTTATCAATTTTTTATTTTCATTAAATTCGTGATTTGCGTTAAGTTCAGAAAAAAAAACGAAAATACTTCTAACAATGGGTGGGCCACTGTTGTAAGTGAAAATTTGGAAAGGATATAGAGGAGAATTTAATGTAGATCTGTAAGCAACAAATATTTATTGCTTTCGAAAAACGATTCTGAGCAGAGTATGATTATATATGTTTTAAAATACTGTAATATTTACGATTTTTGTCAAAATTTGATATGAAAATTTTTATAAAAAAAAAATACTACCTTAAACTCATTTTTTCCTTGTTGACCACAAAGGACAACTTATAATGAACCTCCTGTTTAATTTTCAAATATTTCAGTTTGTTTTAACAATTTTTTCCTCAGCGCATTTATAGAATAAAAATTACGCAAAATTTAAATGTCTATAAATAGCTCAAAAATGGTTCAAATTTTTTTGAAAATTTTACCACGTCTAGAAAAGGTAAGTATAAGTTTTCTGTTCAAATTTCAAGTTTCTATGAATATGTGTAACCGAATTCTAACAAAAAAACAATATTAAAAATAATAAACTCATTATTTTCGTACATTTGCCCGTTTTTTTCCCCAGGTTTTTATTAATTAATTGAAAACCGCTTGAAAAATGATCCCCCCATATCACAATCTAGATAAAATTTCCTTTAAGAAAAGGTGCTATACTTGAAAATCAGTACACAGTATACAAATAAAAAGAAAAAATAATAAAACACATTGTAAAACCAATACATTCCTCGTTTTACTCAGAATCTAAAAGTGCAGTCATTTAGCCATAATAGTAATAATAATAATCAATTAGCGATTACGAATACAGCCTGTTGCATAATTATAGGTACATTTTTTTGAATTTTAATAAATTATTAAAAATCATGAATTTAATGAAAATAAAAAGATGTGAAATGTCAAAATTTTCGAAGAATACACTATAAAATTACCATCTTCAAATTTGTCAAAAATAATAATAAAAAAAAAATTATTTCGGTTTGTTTACCAAAACATAAAAATTTGATTTGAAAAAGTACTTGTAGTCGTTATACCCGCGAGTAATACAGGGTGATTTTTTTTTATCATGGACTAGTAATTATGTTAGAGGATTTTAAGTAAATTTCATTTCTGTTTATTATAATCATATGGAATCGTAAGGATTAATTTTAAAGAATTTTTAATTTTTTACTCCTACTTTATATACCTTAAATAAGTGATATTTTTTTTGATTTTGAAATAGGAACCTCCCTTTATGAATACAGATTTTAATAGAGAATATTTTTATAGAAATTTTGATATGCATAAATTCAATATGAGATCTACCTTTTAAGAATTATAACAGTTTAAAGTTTAGACTAGAGGACTACGGAAGGGTAATAAATTGGGGGTTTTTATTTGAAAATCAAAAGTATGTACTTGTTTTAGGTACATGGAATAGGGATAAAAAATGAAAAACAGTTTTAAAATAAAGCTTAAACGATTTTATAATGGTTAGAAAAAACAGAAATCAAATTCATTTAAAATCCTCTGAGTTGATTTCTGGTTCATGAAAAAAAAAGTCACTGTATAAAAAAAAAACCAGAATTTGATTATCTTCATTACCCCAGAAGATATTAAATTGGGTATATCTTTGTAGGACGTTCTATAATGTCTGCTAATCATATTCTATTTCATTAATCATTACACATTATTAATTATTATCATTTTTTAGTTTTTAGTTCTGATTTTTTTTATACCTACCTAACCTATTAAATACTCTTTACCTCTATTTTTTCTCTTTATGGTGCTCTGAATATAGTATGAATAAGCATGTTTCACTTAAAACAATTTTTTTGGAGTAAAACTTATACATTTTGGATTTTTAGTACTTGTACACAAATTACTAATATACCTAATATTTGTACACTATTGTTAATGATTTGCATGTTGCTTTTTGTTTTCTGTTTGCAATATTATAGAAATGTCGTATGTTAGCAAACCCAATGGCTTTAATAAAAAAACAACAGATGAACGTAAATCATCAAGTAAGTTACTGCTTTTTTTTATTTTTGTGTATGGCTGTGTAGTTTAGATATTTTTTTATTTTGCTTTTATATTAGGTAGTTCAGATTCTTTCATCGGTGATGCTCGTAGACTTAGTGAAGCTGGTGTAAGACGTAGTTCAGGTTTGTTACATAATTTATACTTTAAATACATATTATTTGTATTGTTAGTTCACTCGTTTGAATATAAATATATGATAAAATAGGTACAAGCATGAACACTTGGATTTATTTGCATATGGAAAATAATTTTTATACATTTTTTAGGAAATAGTGTTGTTCTCACTGAAGATACAGACAAATTTATTATCGGTAATCGAATTTGGGTTGGTGGAACTAAACCAGGACATATTGCCTATATAGGTGAAACAAATTTTGGAAACGGAGATTGGGCTGGTATAGTTCTCGATGAACCAATTGGTAATTTGCTGGAGTGTAAATTTTAGTTTGTCGAGTTTTATCACAGATGTTTTTAGGTAAAAATGATGGGTCTGTGAGTGGAACGAGATATTTTCAATGTGAACCTAAGAAAGGCATATTTGCTCGATTGACTAATCTTACTTCTGCTCCACTGACTCCTGTTGATGAAGATACTATGATTCAAAGTTCGTTTGCCACAACCAAACCATTAGGATTTTCAACTCCTATGCCCAAACATCAAGCTACTACTGTAAAAACAACTAAAACCACAGCAAGAAGTAAGTATATTATGTATTTAATTTTTAAGTAAACTAGAAATTGGGCCCACCTCTCACCTTAGAGGTTTAATGCTATATTTATGTTTTGGTACATATCATTTTTCCCTTGGGTAGTGATGATAAATCTAAAAATGTTTGTATGTACTATATTTGTAAAAGAGACTTTGAACAGAACCTTTGAATATATACAGCGATGTAGTTCTAAATTTTTTATAGTATGTGTTTGAAAAAACGAAACATAATGTGGGATTTACTCTCAAACCTCCCATTAAGTAATACATTTTTATCAAATAACAGAGGATTATCTGTAAACATGTTTCAAGTTAAAATGTTTGACTATATGAATTAATGAAAAAACCAAGAAGTGAGTATACACTCTACTTCACTATTGTATATATAAATATATCAATGGTGGAACTATTTGAAAATTGTTGAGATATTTTAGATAAATTTCTAATTATATTTTTATATTATATTTTCAATCTTAAAATGTAAATTAAATAATTTTATACAGTACAATTGTCAATTTTGTCAAAACTAGTGAAATTTTGAAAAATTACCTCTTTTCTTCCTTTTAAATAATATGTATAATGTTAATTTTCTAATCTCTGTATAAATCTACGTGAAATGTTTGGTGGCTCGGTGCACCCAATTTATAACAAATATATAAATCTAAACAAAAACATTTTACTATTTTGCTATGTAATTTATTATGAATTGTAGGCATTAATCAACAACCTACATCCAAGAGTACCAGCGATTTAAAAATTGGTGATCGTGTAATTATTAGCAGTGGACAAGGTTCTAAATTAGGGGTTCTTAGGTATCGTGGTGCAACCCAGTTTGCACAAGGAGAATGGTGTGGTATTGAATTAGATGATCCTCTTGGAAAAAATAATGGAACTGTGGAAGGCATTAAGTAATGGAGTTCTCTAATATAATTTGATTATATATTTTTCTATTTGTATTATTTTAAATTTATTAAGATATTTTGAGTGTGAAGATAAATTTGGATTATTTGCTCCTGTTGCTAAAGTTTCTAAATCACCAATGTCAGCCAGTCGAATGTCAACCAACTGTGCTATTCATAAGACTAAACGGTCACCAGATTCAATGAATGGGTCTATATATAGTGGTATTACTTCAAATACAATGTCATCAATACCAACTCGGGTAAGACTTGGAGTTGCCTCTTTGGGTTACAAGGTATTCTGCATGAAATTTAATAATTGCTTATCTTAAATAATGTTACTATGGTTATTTTATATGAATTGAAAAAAAAAACTAATATATTATTATTTATGTACCATTAATTATAATATAGATTAATAGGTACATGTACTTAGAAAATAAAAAGAATTGGTACTGCTGATGGGTGTGTCACTGTTGTAGAGGTGGGTAGTTGAGAAGTTAGGAAACATAAAATGATTTTATTTATATTTGTAATCAACAATAAACCATTGTTTACGAAAAACGATTTTGAGCTATGTTCGTTTATAAATGATTTGAAAGTCTGTAATATGATTTTCATCAAAATTTGGTCTTAAAACAAATATAAAAAAAAAAAAAAATTAATATACTACATTCTACTTTTGGATTTTTGCCACTAAGTACAACCCTTAATGAATCTCGTGTTAAATTTTCTATCATTTCTGGTTGGTCAAACAATTATGTTCGCATAATACCTTCCAAATAAAAATACAAAAAAACTCACTAATATAAAATGCCTATAAATAGCTCAAATGTTTATAAATGTTTTATTACACTTAGAAAAGGTAAATGTAAGTTATCTGTCAAAATGTCTTAGTCTTTACAATTTTTTTTTTAATGAATTACAAAAAAAAAAACAAGATTGAAAATAATAAAATCATTATTTTCATAAATTTTTTCTTTTTTTTTGGTTTTGCCCAATTATTAACATAATAAAAAAAATGAAATCGGTAATGTCCCAGTGTGATAATATTTGTTTGTTTTCCCTATAATCTTTCTTCCGGTTTTTCCTAATTATTTTGTTAACATTTAAAAATGACTTCCCCAATGCACCAACTAGATCCAAAATGAAGAAAAACAACATACAAGTAAAAAAATAGATTGCTTGCTCCGCTACAAAGCTAAAATCACATTTATATTATTTCAGGAAGATAATTTAAAATTGAGTTTAATTGTCAATTTATTCGGTAAATATCATACATCTTTAAATTTAATTTATTTTACTATAATATTTTTAAATACATTTTTTATTGGATTAATTGTTGAGTATTTTGATTTATCATATTTTACTTCAAACTGATAGGGACTATTGATACAACATATTTGCTTCTTGTGCATAATAATATGTATATGTATATATTTTTTTTGCTAATTAATATTTATAATAATCGCAATCGCTATGGCATGAATGAACAAATGCTAATAAATTATTTTAATACTCATGGTAAGTTTTATATTTTTAAAATTTAATTTGAAATACAATTATTTATCTTGAATGTAAATTATAGTTAACATATTTGAAAATTATACTTAATATTAAAATCATAATTTACTAGAATAATATTAGGTAACATTACTTAAGTTTTTAATATAGGTAATTTAAAAGCTCTTAAATTATATACAATACTATTAAAAAATATGGTGGAAGATAATTAAATTTTATTAAAATAAAAATAATATACTATGGTGATAGTGTAATACATATTAATAAATCTAATATGTCTAGTTTAAAATTTATAATTGAAATATAATGCCGCAGTAACAAATTTGTATTTACATTAAATAATTTAAAAATATATTTTATGTTTATTTGTTGTTAAAATTTCTAGTCAGAAGTGAGACTTGTGAAAATCTATCATCCACAATGGGAATCTGGTTATTATTAAATCGACATCTTTTTGTTGTATAAACTAAAATTTATATTTGATGATTTGCAATTAGCATATACATAATTTTAATGTTTTTGTTTATTATTTTTAAACATCAAGGTTTACAATATTAACAAAAGCACCACAAGACAATCATTAAATTAAATTATTAATACATTTAATCATACTTTATTGTTCCAAATTTTTATTCAAGTTTTCTAACTTTATATATAATTTTATAGTTTTTTTATTATCATATTATTTTGTTTCTGTTATGTTTTAATTTTATTGCTTTATAATGTTTCTTTTTTCACTAAGTAATGAAACACTTTTCATTTGCATATTTATCATTTATCCTACCTTAAAATCCTTACTTTTGTATTGTATGGTATGATTTTGATTTTTTTAATATGATGTGTCTTCATTTCATAAACTTGGACTGAATTTTGTTCTCATTTATCAGATTTCATATCTTTGAATTTTTGTCATGTTTTATTTTATTTTTATTTATGCACTTTTTAAATCTAATTTAATAGTTTCCTAGTTTAAACCTTTTATTTTTGATTAGCGTAAGGTACTATTTATTAAGAATAAATAGTAATAAACATAATATGTATTTAATGTTATTTATTACATTGATAATAATCATCACTTTTAATTATTAAAAATGTTCTTTAAAAAAATATATATACATATATATAACTAAACAACTCGGTACAATAATTATATGAATTTTATAATAAATCATCTATACAAATGTATATAATTAATATTACACATAATTTAAATTAGAAAATTAAGCAAATAAACAAAACCAAAATTGGTATACCTACTATATGAAATACATCCAGTTAAATTGTTGAAAATGTACTTGTGTAAGATGCTATAATGATAAATTCATATTACATAATGTATACACTTGGTGTTTCTATAGTATGGAGTATCTATAGTATTTATAATAATACTGAAACATATTGTACTAAATATAATTTAGTACTTAGTAGTGGTTGGTATTTTAACTGTACAGTTAATTTAATGTATATTTGAAAATAGGTAAGTATGTAATTGTAAAAGACTATACAAATGTATAGTATATATATATATATATGAACATTTATTTAGCAATTTTGATTTGAATAAAATACATTGTTATTTAATAAAGTGCTCAAATACATTTTAGAATACTATTAGTGATGAATAGTGTGTATAAAATATAATGATATACTGTTATTTAAATACATTTTAAATAATATATTTTATCATAATTTTGTATAAAAAAAATTATTTTTGGTTTATATAAAGTATTCCCTTTCCAATTTAACATTATGGTTTGTGTTTTTTAAATAATTTAATTTAATTTCCTACTAAAATAATTAGATAAATAGTTCTAAATTTGTTTAAATAATTAATATTTATAGCATATAAATATATAAATACAAAAATATATATATGTATAAATAAAAAATAAATAAATGAATAAATGTGTCTCCTACAATATTATGATAAGTGTATTATACGACCGGTTTCAAATTAATAATCTATCATTAGGTATATCACAGTCAAAATGTAAACTGCGATTGAATATATAAAATTAAATGAAGGAATACATTAAAAAAACTTATACAAATCGGTTGTTTTACATAGAAATAATTTATTTTAATAGAAGAGATTAAAGAGCCTAAATCTATCTAGGCTCTCTTGGAGAGATTATTTAAAATGGGTTATTATTAGATATAGATATGTTAAAAAATATAAATTATTTGGTTATTTATTTATTATCTAAAAAGTATTGATATGAGGTATTATTTTTTAAAATCAGTTTATGCATTTAAAATATTATTAAAATTATTTTTTTTTGTTTCATTGTATACATGTAATTCTTTTAAAACTGATTTAATGTAAATGTTATTTTGAGTATTTAATATCTCTAAGTCTGTATTAATATCAAAGCTTATATTATGGTTGTTTTCTAAAACATGTTGAGCGAAATTTGAATTAGGGGCAGTCTTTTTAAATTTAATTTTAAAAATGTTCTCTTTATATCTTATTTTAAAATTTATTACAGTTACATTTAAGTTTATATATATATATATATATATATATATATATATATTTTAATAATTATTTATCTTAAAAACGATTTTTATATTATTTGTATTTTAGTGAATTTGTTAGACATATTATTTTGATATTTCATTCTACTATATTTTAACATAATTTGATGAGTTGTGTATTATTTTTTCTTTAATACGTTTATGAATTTTTTTAATAGTATTTAAACTGAAATTATTTCTATGGGATATATTATAGATAATATTGAACTCGTGATGGTAATTATGTTTATTTAATGGAACATGTTCAAGCCTATAAAATATTGAATTGGAAAATTATATTTTTGGAGAAAAAGGGTGATTAAAATCATATAGTATTATAGCATCAGTTTGTGTTGTTTTCCTGTATATACTAAAATTAAATTTATTGTTTATTATGAAAACTGTAAAATCTAAGAATTTTAATTTCCTTTTTTTTTTGGCGCATTTATTAATTTATTTACGAGTATTAACCATTTCAATATATTTTTTTACATTATTATTTTATTATATAATATTTTACAATGATCATTAATTTACAACAGGAAAATCAGTTAATGTTTTCAGTTTTGTTGCTCTCATATTATATGTGAAATAACGAGTGTTGCTTTTATGTTGGGTTTTCTTAAAATTCCAAAAACCGTTAAAACTAGAATTTAATAGTTAGAATTCAGTAAAACTAGATTTAGTTAATTAAACTATTTCAGTTTAATATTTAGCTTTTGATAAAATTAAGTTGTAATTAGTTAAATTGTGTTTTGTATAATTTGGTAAAAGAAGTTTTAATTGGGGAATTATTATTAATTTTTGGGGTTTTATATGTCAAAGTTACCTTTTAAATATGTAGAATGAGTTTTGATAAAAATTAATTTATAAAAATTATTATTATTTATTTATTTATTGATTTATATTTTTATGTATAGTTTACTATGCAATTACTATTTTATACAATAATAAAATACTCAGTTAAAAATTGCAACTTTGAGATATCAGCAAATTTATATTGAACTGATAATATCTGTGAGGAAATAAATTTAATATTTCCATTCAGATTGTTTTTACTAATTTATTAATATCATACAAAATGTGTGTTTAGTTGTGGATAGGTTAGGATAATAATGATCATGACAAAAATGTTTTCTTAAATAATTGATTGTTGGAATTTATTTATGGTTTTTTACAGTATTGTTTTTGAAAGGCTTTGTAGAGCTTACTTAATGAAAAAAGTATATAGATTTTAAATGCTTATTTATCATTTTTCAGAATATAATTAAAATAAATATGTATTTTTTAATCTTTTACTATAAATTTACTTGAATGATTTCTAATTATTCCTAATTATTGATTGCAGCCAACCAAAGTATCAGATTTAGATCGTTTAAAATTGCAATTAACTCAAATGAAAAATGAAAATGAATTACTTCGTTTACAAGTTACTAAAGCAGCAAATCAAGCAGATGTAGCTGAAAAAAGATTAGAAGAAACATTAAAAGTAAGTTTGTGTGTTTTTATTTATTGTATCTTAAGCGCTGTAAATATTATATGCAATGATTTTTTTATTAAGGCTCATACAGACAGACCATCCGAATCTCAATTTACCGATACAATAATGCTACAAATAGATAATATGAAAAAGCAAATAGAAGAAGAAAAAGAAAAGGTTCAAAATTTGCAATTTACTAATGAAGAACAAAATGTTGTTAATATTGAATTACAAAATAAAAATACTGAGCTTTTAATTAAAATTAAAGAATTAGAATTTAATTTAGATAAAGAAAGAAATATAGCTAAGGATGTGGAAAAAGAGACTATGAAAATGTTTGAAAAAGAAGAAGAATTATGTAGAGTTAAAGAAGAGTTAGAATCTCTTAAAAAACTAATAGACAATGATGCTAATGAATTGCAAAAATCAGTGTCCAATTTAAGTTCAGAAGTTGTTGATAAAGAAACTATTTTAAATACATTACGTCAAACATTAAATGAAAATTCTCAACTGCACGACCGATTACTTAAAGAAGCTAATGAGAAGTTATTTGTAACCACAGAGCGATTGAACAAAATTATTGAAGAAAAAAATAAAAAAATAGAACAGAATCAAGAAATGATCGATCAATTAAATGAAGGTATAAAATGTTTGAGTGCATTGAAGAATGAAGAACATGATGATATTGTTAATAATCTTAAAAATCAGTTATCAAAATTAAAAGATGAGTACAAAGTCATTTTTGACAAACAAGAACACGACATAAAAGTATCCAAAGAGAATCATATTCAAATAGAAAATAAAACCAAACAAGAATTAAATAATTTGTTAGAAATTAAAAACCATGAAATTGACCAACTAAAAAAAAAATATGCTGATTTGATGTGCTTAAATTCTTCTGAAAAAGATGATATTAAAAAATTAAAACTTCAGTTATGTGCTACTACTACCGATTTAAATGAGTTGAAAGCAAAGAATTTAGTTTACAGCAAAAGTGATTTAGAAGTAATTCTTCAGCAACAAATTCAGTTAATTTCTATGAATTTTGAAGATTTAAAGAAACATTTTGATAAAATAGTATCACTTAAAGATAAACAAATTATAAACTGTAACACAAATTTAATGCAAATAAAAGAACAATTAAGTAAGTCAAAGTCTTACCTAGAAATTACTTATAATGACAAAATAAAAGAAAAGGACAATGAAATCAAAATATTGTCAGAAAAATTAAATGTAATTATTAAAGATTTTGAAAATCTTGAAAAAACTAATAATAATTTAAACATAGAATTAAAAACAGCCTCAAATTCCGTACAAGACAAATCCATCTTGATAACAAATTTACAGAAGAAATTTGATGATTTAGAATCAAAACAAGATTTAAATAGAAATGAATTAGAAAAAGAACTTTCAGTGAAACTAACATTTGTAAATGATGAGTTAGCCAGTCTTATATCTGAAAAAACTGCTTTAGAAGAAAAGTATGAAAATTATGTGAAGATAACTGAAAATACAGAAAAAAGTATGGAGAGCAAGTTACAAGAAAATAATACTTGTATAGCAAATCTAAATAAATCATTGCAAGAGTTAACTTTTTCAAAACAAAATGAATTAGATTCTTTGAACAAGCAAATGTTGCAGTTTAAAGAAGAACAAAATGAAATATTAAAACATCAAAGTGTAGAATTAGCTACCAAAGATGAACTCATAAATTCTTTATCCAATAAGTTAGAACAGACATTAACTGAGAAACAAAAACAAGATTTAAAAAATGCTAATTTACAAAATGAATTAATAAATGAAACTACTAAGTATCAAATTACATTAAAAGATTTACAAATTAAAATTAATGAATTAGAAGTTGAAATATTATCAAATCGCGAATTGTTTAAAAAAGAACTAGAATTATCAAGTAGTGAAAATGAAACAATCAAAGACGAAAATTTGAAACTTTTAGAAAATTTGAGGTCTTTAGAAAATGTTAAATTAAATCTTGAAGAGAAATTAGTTTCTAATGAAATGCGCAATCAGGATCTTCAAAGTTTAAATGAAATTATAGAAGACAAAAATAAAATTATTCATAATAATCAAATAAGAATTAAGCAGCTAGATGATTTAATTGTGCAAACTAAACATGAATGTGAAGTTATTCTAAAGAAAAAAGAAGAAGAAATCGAGGAATTCTCAAAAACTAAAGAAGAAAAAGTAAATATAGAAATGTTTTCATTAGAAGAGAAAACTAAAATTCTATTAAATGAAAAAGATAACGAAAATTCAAAACTTCAAAACAGAATTAAAGACTTAGAAAATATAAAAATAAGTTTTGAACAACAATTGAAGAAAAGTGAATCGAGAGAAAATGATTTGAAACAATTAAATGAAACAATACCAGAAATGACCAAAACCATAGAAGATAATAATTTGAAGATTTCTGAGCTAAATAATTTAGTTTTGCATACCAAAAGTGAACTAGAATCTAAGTTACAGGAAAAGGAAGACATAATTAAAAAGTTATCAAAAATTGGAGATGAAAAATTAAATATTGAAAAACAACAGATGGCATTGTTGGATGAAAAAGAAAAAGAAAACTCTGGTCTAATAGAAAAAATAAATATTTTAGAAAATACAAAAATGAGTCTTGAGCAAAAATTAGAACTAAGTAAAACCCAAGATATAATGATAATGGAATTACAAAATTCAATTGCTGATAACACAAAAATCATTGACAATCAAAATTCAAAGATTGAACAGTTGAATAGTATGATTATATTGCGTTCAGAAGAATTCAATTTAATGTTAAAAAAAGAAGAAGAAAAAATGAACGAGTTAATGAAAACCAAGGATGATAAATTTATAAATGAGAAACTCTTATTGGAAAAAAAAAATAAACTCATATTGGATGAAAAGGATAAAGACATTTCAAATCTTAAAGAAAAAATAAATATTTTGGAAAATATAAAAATACAGTTCGAGCAACAATCAGAAATCAGCAAAAAACAAGAAAGTGAAATTGTAGCATTGAAAAAATCTATCGAGGAAAAATCTCAAGGCATAGAAGAGAATAATTTAAGTATTGAACTGTTAAATAATCTAATTACACAGACAAAAAAAGATTTTGATGTAAAACTCAAAGAGAAAGAAAATGAAATAGAAAATTTAGTAAAAACCCAAGAACAAAAATTGACTGCAGAAAACATGACCTATATATCCAACATAAACGAAAAAGAATCAGAAATTGAAATATTAAAACAAAGATTAAAAGAATATTCAGAAAATAATATCGAAAAAGAATTGAGAATAAAAATAGAATCTTTTGTTAATGATTTGGAAAAAGAAAAAATCCGTGTATCCAATTTAGAATTTTTAAAGAATGAATTGGAAAAAACAGTGTTACAAAATAAAACTGACTTACAATTGTTAGAAACATCAAAATTAAATATGAAAAATGATTTGACTAAAACTATTGAAGATCAAACATGTCTTATTAATAAAATTAATATTGAATGTGAACAATTAAATAATGATAAATCTCAAATCCAAAAAGGAATTGATGAATTGACGACTAAATTGAATGAGCTACAATTCACACTGCATGAAAAAAATTGTGAAATAGAAAATCTTAAAACTCAGGTATCTCAAAAGTTGAATACTGTTGTTTCGAACAGTGACGAATTGAACCAACTAAAAACTCTACGGTAAGTAAAAATATTTGCTTCCCTTACTTACATATTTTATGCATTATCTTAAAAATATACATACAGAAGATAATGTAATTATTAATTATAACGTTTTTTTTAGAATTTTTTAAGGGTGTGTTAGTCAGACATACAAACTAGTATTAACAATAATACCATTTTAATAATACATTTTTTTGTATTTATAAAATCATAAATGTTTGTATAAAAATGTATGTATTTATAATAATAACATACTAGAACACAATAACCACCTAATTTAAATAAATTAATATACCATAACTTCATTCCTGTTTCAATATCATCTAAATAAAATTTACTTAAATTGTACTTTTTGATCATAATTTTTATTAGAAATTAGACAAATCTGCTCCCATTTACCCTCTTCAAACATTCTATTGCATTAAAAGCATTTATTTATTGTGATTTTGTAATTAGTTTATTTTAAATAGTTTTAACTTCATATATGTGTTTTAGTGAAAAAGATCTTAGTTCCCAATCACATTTGGAATTCCGTATTCAAGAGCTGACAGATGAAAACCATCGTTTGAATGAACATATTGAAATGAACAATACTCTACTTCAGAAAAAAGAAAATATAATGTGAGTTAATTTAACTCAATATATAAACAGGATGTTCTGCAGTGTTATCCTTATAATAATAATTCTATCAATATTCATTTTTTTTTTTTCAATCACATTTTGTGTGAGAGGGACACATGTAGAGAAAAATTATATTTTTATTTTCATCCCTTAATTATGGGGAAAAAAAAAAAAAAAAACTTTATTTCATAATTTTACAAAATTTTCAAAATAGCCATTTTATTAAACATGTTATTCTATACAATTTAATGTAACATATGGTACATTCATATCCGATCAATAGTTTCTTAGTAATATCCGTTTTAATTCTAGAAAATTGGCGTGAAAAAAATTAATTTTCAATAGAATAACATGTTACGCAATAAGAAATCGCAATCAGCACGGTAATTCTCTTCTATTAAATATTAATTATTTTCACATCTATTTTCTATACATTAAAGACAGTGTAACTAAGAAGCAATTACTGAGATATAAATGTATGATACATTCAAATTTCTAGAATAATATATTTTACAAAATATCTATTTTGAAAATCTTACAAATTGGAAAATAAAAAGGTTTTTTTTTCAGTAAATAAGAGATAAAAATAAAAATTTAATTTTTTTCTAAATATATACCCCTCACACAAAACCTGATTGAAAAAAAAAAATTAATATATACAGAGTTGATTGATAAAATTTGTATTTGATATATTTTTGACAGAAAAGAAAATGATAATATCAAACAAAAATACGAAGAAACCTATAGTTTACTAAAAATTAAAGAAAATCAAGTCTTAGTATTACAAACTGAGGTTTGTACTTAACATTTTTTTTATCATTATGTTCATATGTAATGCAAATATTGTTAACATTTATATTTATAGTTTAAACCTACACTAGATTTACTAGATTTCAATATTATGTTAGTATATTTTTATATTTGCATAATATAAACAATTAAATATGTAAATATATTATATGAAAACATTTTAATATGGAATGTTATAGCTTGTCAAATTTGACTGTCTCAAATTATATAAATCATTCTGACTAGCAGAAATATTTTGAGATTTATTTAATGCAAATAATATTAATTTCTACTATTTACATAATTTTTAATTAATCATTAACTATTAGTTATCTAACTCATAGAAACTTTATTTGTTTAATTGAATTTATTTAAAAAAAAAAAATTAAATAATTTAGTATCTATAAACATTTTCAGGTGCTTTTTTTAATTTTTAGTTAACCTATCATACATTTTAAGCTAATTTAAGATTAAATATAAGGTCTAAAACTCTAAATCGGTGGTTCTCAAACTGTGGCACGTGTACCACTGATACTATATGGTAAGCAATATGGTGGTACTTAGAAGACTGAGTGGTAGTAGTTTGGAAAATTGATTAATATATATCTGTACAAATGTTTTTAATGGATCTAATTAATGGATTTAATTTTTATAATGTTGATTATATTGTACCTAGTATTTTACTGTCTTATGCTCTTATAATTTTTAAATAAATGGTATAGACATTATAAATTGTTCAACTTTTAGTCATAAGTGGTACGTAACAGATCCATAATACATATGAGTGGTACGCAAAAAAAAAAGTTTGAGAACCTCTGCTCCAAACCTTATTTAAAATAATAATTTACAGAATTAATAATATATTTATTTAGTTGAATTCTTGGAAGTTAAAGGATATGGGGAAATCAAAGAATAATAGTACTCTAGACAAAACGGAAAAATCTGGTAATATATTGTATCAATTTGCCCAGAATTATAAATTGTTATTTATTTTATATTTTTATTTAGAAGCCTTATTATTAGCAGAAAAAAATGAAGAAATTAAGATGCTTAATTCTATTATATTAAGCTTACATAAGAAATTGTCTGCTGTGATGGAAACTGATGTCTCTGAATTTGAAGTGTAAGTATATTTGACTGTTTTTGACTAGTTAGTTTTGTGTTATATTTTTTAAAATTTAATTGTGTTAAGTATTGTATTATTTTTTTTTGTATCATTTTTGTATTATATTTTAAATGTTCAATAATAACCTTTTATTTTATTAATAGCTTGCACTCTTTAGGATGTAGAACTGGGCAATTCAGAATGATTTGTGTAAACTATTAAATATTTTCTGTAATTGATCAACTAAGTAATATTGATTATTAAAACTAATAGTTTTTATCAGAATAATAAATTAATAATTTCAAATTGTTGAACTATAATGTAATTTATGCATAAGATAAATTTCTAGTCCCATTTGAAGAAATTATTACTTAAAAGAGCATCAAAAAAATTAAATTTGGCTCAAATTATAATACATACTATAGTCTGGTGAAAAAAAAATGATATTTATAATAACTTTAATAACATGGTAAAACTATACTATTATTATTAGAGTATGATTATTATTATTATTTCAACATTAAGTGCATCTTTTTAAGTGATCTAAGACAATGTTTTCCAAGTACATAATTATTTTCATCTTACCTTCAAAATTAAAATTTTTGTTTTCATTTTTTTACATTTAAAATTTTTAAGAATTTTTTTGATAATTTTGTAAGTTTTAATACTTATTTGTAAATTAAAAATTTAATAATTTAAATTTAGCTCATTCAAAATAACATCTAAAAAAAGTCGGTTTCCTTGGTATTTATTTTAATTAGAACCTTTTAAAGTTCAATAGTTTAATGTAGAATTTAACATAATTTTAAATTTATATTTAGTTATAGTTAGATTTACCAATAGAAAGATGTGTATCAGTCTATTATTGTCAAATTAAGTCAAATTTTTTAATTTTCAGTTGTTTTTTTTTTTGTTATAAAACTAAAATTATATATTACTTAATAAAACAATAAGTTTATTAAAAAAACAAAATGTGTAAATTGCATTTTCGCAGTAAAATTCATTTTTTAAGGTTAATTTTGACTATTATTTTAGAGCATTTTTTGGTGTTTTTAATTGTATTTAAATCCGAGTTTTAATTAATATTATGAAAAATAAACGTTTACAAAAGAGAGATAAAATTAAAATTTTACCACAGAGCCTAAAATAAATTTAAAAAAAATAGATTTACATTATTTATTAATTATTAAAACAATATAATCCTTCATTGACACATTTTATATTTTTAGTGAAAAAAATCCCAATAGTGTTTCAAAAGAAGATTACCAAAAATTGTACAAAACAGCAAAAAATAATGTCAAACTAAAGGAATGTGAAAATTTATCGTTAAGACAAGAGGTTAGTTGAAATAAAGTTACCTACTAAATTACTTACCTGCCTGACTTCAATAAATAATTTGTGATGGTTTTTTTTAGATATGTAAATTAAAAACAGAAAATGAAAGTTTTTCTGAATTTAAAACTAAATGTGAACTTTTAGAAAAAGATAAAAAAGCGCTACAAACATTGATAATTAACTATGAGTCTTCTCATTCAACAAATGACAAAAACGAAAAAAGCGATATTAAATCCGGTTAGTTCATGTCATTATTTATTAGTTATTACTTTTATTGGTTATATTATGACTAAAGAATGAATAATAATGTTTTCACGTCATATATTAACTAATAAAAAATTTAATGCTGCTGGATAATAGTAAAAAATGTGGAAATTTTTAATTTATAGACTAAATATTTATTTAGGATAAAAATTAAAAAATATTTTTTAAAAATTATAGAATATTTAGTCTCATATTTATAATTTAATTTATGTTGTAATATTAAATAATAAATATCAATTTACTAATTTTTTATTTTGTTTACTAAATTTCTTAAAAGATATTGTACAATATGAAAAAATATCAATTGTATTAATATATTATCCTTCAGGGAAACAATATATATTTATCTTAATTTATAATAATTATTAAACAAATTTAGTACTATTCTAATATATCTACCCAATAATAAAAATAATTGTTTTTGTTATTTATGAAGTAGTTTAGAGTAATTTGTTTTTAGCATATATTTAGACCAATAAACTGGAATAAAATAAACATACTTTCTGTAGTCCAATTCTGTTTTGAAAAATGATTTGAGTTCACACACATCTTTTTTATATTTTGTTGGAAAAATATTTATGTTTTAGATTTGGAACGTAGCAAAGGATCTATTAAATTTACTTTGATGTGTATTTTTTTTCTATCTGTCAACAACTTTTCTTTTTGAAGTCTTGTTCTGATGTGATGTATATTGTTTAGTACCTTTTCTCTAAGGAAATTTTGTCTAGTTGGTGAATCAGAGAAGTCATGTTTTGACTTTCAAGAGCTTTTAAAAAGAATTGGAAAAAGCCAGAAAAAAATTATAGGTCAAACGCCAAATATTTACGGTGTGTCATTGCCTTACCGATTTCATTGTTCTTAATTTTTACAAACTATGTTTTCTATTAGAAATATTATGCCGATCGAAAAATGACAAGAGATCAATTTTATTCCTTTTATTAGATTTAACCACACTTAAATTTACTGAGTAATTTTTTGTATCAGTTTAATTCATTTTGTATATTCACAATGTATTTGTGTAATACACAGTAACCTAATATTATTATCGTTTAATAATCTCCAATTATTATTAATCCATGATAGAAATTTTCAAAGCAGTTTTAAAATTCGTCAACAATATTTTGCGATACTTTAGTAATGAATAGAACTAGAAAACAAATTGGGGGGAGGTTAACCTCCAGGACACCTCCCCCCCAAATACGCCACTGTTTATAGTAGACAAGTTTTTTTTCCAGATTATTGGTCTAAAATGTTATAATATTTGTCCGTAAAACCGCTTTACCCTTTCCCCTTAAATGAGTATCCAACAGTATATTAATAAAAAGTCTTTTCATTAAGGTGGTAGTTGAAAGAAAATAATTTATCCACCTTAGTAATTTCTTTATGGTCAATTTTGGAGGGAAAAACTAATTTAATAATTACCTACATAAATTTCTTATTTTAAACAAATGTCTTACAAATTGGGTCAAAACAAATTTAAAATACATTATAATATTCATCCTTAAAATCTATGTTTAGAAACTGCAAAAATACTGGAGGAAAAAGATTGGCAGATAAATTTGTTGAACAAGATAATTGCTGATCTTCATACTAAGGTTTCAAATAATAAGTTTAAAATTGAAGCACTAGAAAAACAAATATTAGATTCTGGAGTGTAAGTATTTATAGTATTAACATTTGATATTAGTTGTCACAAGGGAGCTATACTGTTAATGCTGTAAAAAATCTAAAAATTTTAGTCACTGATTTTTTTAAATGTTTTATTACAAATGTTAAGAACATAATTTTTTCTAATCATGGATTCATCTGGACTATTATGTTTATGTATTAGCTTGATAATCTCGAAATGCTTTATTGTTATTTTTTTTTAATGGGATAGTTGTGCATAAAATTGCAAAACACTTTTTAATGGATAGGTAATTTGTTGGTAATATTTAAAACAAGTTCCTGTTTGTTGTTTAATGAAGATTTATCTTTAGAATTTGACAGAATCAAAACTACATGTCAATACCAAATAAGGTACTCACAGCAGTCAACTTGTTAAACGCAAATGAAGCACATTGTTCGCATTAAGGTTAAATACTAATTGTTATTGTTTTTTTCTTCGTAAAAATAAAAACATTTTTAATGAAAATTATATAATATTTATTTCATAAAAATAAATATGTTTGAATACTTACAATAAAATTAATTTATAATATATTTATTCATGGGAGGTGTGAATATTATTTTTACTTTTAGGGAATGCGAGAACCAAACAAGTTTGGGAACCACTGGTATATGGAATTATAGTTAATTGTTTAAAATGTTAAAAATGTATTTTGAGTCGGGAACTTGGCATGTTTGGCTAGTGGGCTTTTCTAGTTTGTTTCACTAATAAAATATAAAATGATTACCATATTATGGTGATCGTCACTGGGTATAAGAGGTAGAAAAGTTTAAAATATTTTGTGATTTTTTTTTTATTTAAATATGTCATATTGTCAATATTTTAAAGCATTGAAGGTATTGAAGTTTTATAGAAATAAAAATTATATTTAAATTATCTAATATAAAATAAATTATTTTCAGGGACCAAAACAAAAAAATTCGTTTAAGAACTACTCGTCTTTATTGTGAACGATGTGAAATATTTGATTCTCACGATACTGAAGATTGCCCCGAAAAACCAGAATCCCCAAAATTTCGAAGTACACCCAGAGTGTTAAATGATTATGTAAATAGAAATGTTGAAGAACCGTTTTGTACGTGTTGTGAGAGTAAGTTATAACCAAAATATTAAAATATCATTTTTGTGTTTCAAAAATATTTGACTGTAATTTAAAATGTTGAATTTATTTTGTTTAGTGTATGGACATACAGCTATTGATTGTAATAATCTACTAACATTTTAATGTGATTCAAAGAACAATTTGCAGAACACCTAAAATCAAAATCATTGTTTAGTTACATATTAAAATTAAATTATTAAATTATTCAATAATTCATTTCATTATTATTCATTTTTTTTTTTTGCTCTAGAATAATTATTCAGTAAGACTGATTCTAAAACTAATTAGTTTATTAAGGAATTATTTATTTATTTATTATTCACTAGATTTTATATTGTGATATTAAATTTAGGTTGTAAATTAATTGTCCTAAATTATTATAAATATGTACCTATTACTAAGAAAGTAGTTATATTAAATTGTAATATTTGTTAATATATATATATATTTTTTTTATCAGTTATTTAAATATTTAATAAAGAATAAATAGCAAAAAAAAGCTTATAATCACATATTTACAACAAATTATTGTTTTTATTATTGTATAATTCTTAAAAGTTAATAATACTATGCCTATTTAAATTAGTTATATGTTTTCTGTATAACAATTAACAGTAGATATAATATATAGGTTTTAGAATGTACTTTAATTTTCAGTTTCAAAATATTACCTCTTAAATCAATGTGTATATGTATAGAAATAAACTATAAGGAATAAATTTAGGTAAAACAGACAAAGTCAACCTGAGCTGACTTGAACTTGAAGTTTAAACTTTATACATTTACAATATTTGTATAAATGTTTGATATTTTCTTAAATATTTTATAAAATGTTAGAAAAATCATTTTTTTTTTAAGTTACTTTGTTTAAAAGAAATTAAATATTATATTACTTTTATTACTCTACATTTTTAAATATTTGTGCCTATTGACTTAACCCGTTAAGTCAATATAATCTTGCAGTGTTTTAATAAATAAGCGTTTTTCCATAATTATCTATAATACAGATTTGTAACTCTAATTAGTTTATTAAAACCACATGATAATTCGATAATGATATTTACTTCGTTGAAAACCATTTTAGTTTGTTCGGTACACGCGTGTCAAGAACAATAATTTAACCATTTGGAAAATATTCACCCCGCGCAACTGAAAAGTAATTTCTTATTTTAAATTTTTTTCAATTTCATTTTCTCTTAATTCTCATTATAAAAACCATTGGCGGAATAATAGTATTCCGAATACAATTTATATTGAGTAAATACATTAATAATTGTCATAAGTACCTAGGTACAATCTAATGATGTTAATCTGACTATATTTTATAAGAAAAATAATCATTATTGAACCAATAAAGATTTTTCCCAGTCAAAACAAATAGTAATAATTATTTTTATATTCAGTAAAACTCATTAACAACTAAACTATTTACATAAAATGTTTTACTGATAGATCCTGATTTAGGTATGTGCATGTGGTGCACTAGCACAAGGCCCCCAAATTCTTAGGCCTCTTGACATCTTATAAAAAATTAATAAACAAATAAAATGTATAGCTATTCTTTAAAAAATATTTTTGGTGGATATAAGTATTTAATAAGCAACTTTTATTGAATAGAATATACAATATTTTTTTATTTATTTATGTTATGCATCATTTGCTGTACTGAAAAATATAATAACTTAAATGTGTTAATCTTAAACACAATAGGTAAAAATTGAACTGTTTATCATTACTGGCAATCAATTATGATATTTTAAAACATTATTAACGTTCAGACTTTTTTTTATAAATTTTGGTTTGTTTAAAATTTATTTTTTTAAATTTAAGAGACCGCAAAGTAAATATTGCACAGTCTTTATTTCTTTAAATCAGGCCCCGATTCCTGGTAGAAAGGACCATGTGCCATTAAATATTTTGACAAAAATCCAATGTATTTTAATGCAGTAATACAAAAGATTTCTTTTTAAAAAAAAAAAAACTATGTAAATATCTTCAAAATTAAAGATTTTGTAGCATTGAGACTACTAACTTTTTTTAATATTTTAAAGTCGTTTTCTGAATAATTACTGAGTTACTGAGTTTGATAAGAATCAGATGATATAATATATACAAAGTGTAACACGAAGATTTGTCATTTGAAATAACTTTTGTTCCATTTTATATATTTTTTTAATAAATAGTATACCTTTGCAATGCAGTTTATATGTGAACATTTTCTTTTTAGAGGGGGACGGGGAAATTTAAAATTTTAGTAACTTTAAAAAAAAAATCAGTAGGTAATCACTACCCACTGATAATATAAATATTATTGTATTGAATTAACTCATGGAAAATAAAATCTTAAATTTAAATATTATAATAGATTTATACAGGTGATTTTTATCATGAACCAGTAATTATCTTGGAATTTTTTAAGTTAATTTGATTTCTGTTTTTTTCTTATCATTATGGAATCGTTTAAGCTTTATTTTAAAACCATTTTTAATTTTTACCCATACTTCATATAACTTATGATATAAGTACATATTTTTGATTTTCAAATAGGAACCCCCCCCGCCTCCGTTGAACACAGATTTGAATAGAGAATATTTTTCTAGAAATTTTGATATGCATAGCACTAATATAATATTTACCGTTTTATGAGTTAAAACAGTTTAAAGTTTAGACTGGAGGACTAGGGAAGGATTAAAAATTTCCTACCCGTTTAGTTGGATAAATTATCAATTCGCTCCAATATTAAAACGAACAGCACAAAATTGGTTCGGCCGAACGCAAATTTACTATTTCGCGCGTAAGTGCGCTTATAAGAGGAAGACAACAGATGACTGATAATATTGGGTTAACGACCTCTTAATAATAATAATATTATGTAACATATTTTATACTTATATTACACGTAATTTCTGACCGAGTTATTTGCAGAGCTAGTGGGTGACAAATTGAATTTTATTTTACGGTATTTGTACTTTTACCGTAACATGTACATCTAGACCATAGATCTGGTGATGAGCGATGACTGTTTGGCCCACAGCACCTCTTAATTGTTAAAAAATAAATAAACAATTATTTTTGCCTCCTCCCCCGAAATTAAAATTACTTTTTGTTATACCCATGGTTACCCATGTTACCCATGGTTTATTACGTTTTTATGTGTTACAACGAGCGGACATGCAGGTATTATAATACGCAGATGATGATTTTTTTTTTTTTTACCAATCATTAAATAGCCCCCCTCCCCTAAAATTCAATCGAATCTCCGCCTAATATATTATTATATATATACACATTTCAATATATTATAATATACACATGTATATTATTATTACCGCGTTACGTACAATGAACGATCGCGATAGCCGTCCGGACGCTGGGCTCCTGGTACTCCGGTCGCGTTTCTGGCGCCGTCGTCACCACAAGCTCCACCCCTCGGCGGCGTGGCCCAATGTCAAAGGCACGCCGACCCGTTGTGCGGTTAATGCCATCACGGCGGCCGGTCAGACGGTGTCGCCTGTCGGGCGATTCGTGCGATCGGCCAAAAGGACGGTCGAACGTAACATAATTAATGTTTTTTCGCCCACCTTGTTCTTTACCAAACGGTTTTTTAAAAAATTCATCACTTTTTATCATACATATTCAACGCATATTTTTTCTATTTTTAGGAGAATCAAATACTATACAGGTGCACCAGGTGCAAAAATATACGTTGTTTAATGTCCTATACTCATTATTTAAACCATAACGCCTTAAATTTAAAAAAAATTCCAACAAGGTTGTCATTTTTCGATCGGAGTAAGTTTACTATTCGAAAATTTGCTCACAGATTAAAAAAAATAATAATAATAGCTGATAATGCTGATGAGAAGAGACCGATAGTTTCCCTGATGTACAATAATTAATTTTTAAAACACCGCACACTTCCCGTTTCTACAATAGTGCACCAGAAAGAATATTTTATAGCATTGTAACATTAACTTATCTTTGTGACAGTTTTTCTGAGGTAACTACACCTATTAGTTGTGCTTGACAAAATATTAACGTTCAAGTATTCACGACGATATTCTATTAATTTCAAACGGCCACGGATGAAATGTCCAAGAAGCCAAGAATCTAGACAATATATCACTATGAAATTGAAATATGCATAAATCATTTCAGTTAAATGTAATTTGTAATAATATTACGGAAGAACATAATATATTGATAGGCATGTGAAGAGTTATTAAATGTAGGTAAAGGGGAGGGGGTGGGTGGCGAAGCCCCTCACGAGATTGTTATGAGATGTCCATTTTGATATTCGCCCCACACATATAAAACGTTCTCAATATTACGACACTGCTCGTTACATGAAAACGTTTTCACATTGCACGCGGTGTACGGGCGGCAGCTGCCAACGTCGCCGCCGCCGCCGTCGTTGTTGTATTGCACCGCTCGCGTTATGAGATCCTGGTACACAGATCGCGGTTTCGACGACGTCGTCATCGCAGGCTCCTCCCCGGGGGCGTGGCCAACGTCGCTGTCAAAGACTCGCCGCCGCGTGCCGTCATTGACTCTGCCGCGGCAACGACGTCGGTCCTCTGCGTACGTTCTTCGTCCGCTGTTGCAATACCAGGGTATCATAATATTACGGCCATCGTTTCAGACCAAGCACCGTACCTCCGCCTGTTCTGTAGTAGTGTTAGGCACTACCAACCGAAAGGGGATTGGAAGCGACGAGTTACTGTCTTTGTCTTGCACACGTGAGATATAGGGATTTAGACGTGTTTTAAATCCAACGTACCGATTGATCTAGTAAAGCGATACGCATTCCGAAAATAGATTTGAATTTGTCGTGAAGTCTACTTGAGATCGACTTTCCCACTTTTTAAATTTACCTCCTTAAATTCTAAAAAAAAAGCCATACGAATAATTGAATAATTGAAAAAATTGAATATTTTCTATTTTTTGAGAAATTAAATTCAAAAATCAAAAAAATGGGAAAGTCAATATCCAGTAGATTTCACGACAAATTCGAATCTGCTTTCAGAATTCTTATCGCTTCACTGCATTAATCGGTACGTTGGAAATAAAACATGTCTAAATCCTTATATCTCACGTATTTAAGACAAAGACAGAAACTCGTCGCTTCCAATTCCCAATCCCAATAGCGGGACTGCGCGTGACCTGTTTTTTGTTTAAAAATGTACTTCAGGGGGTTAACTCTCGTGCCTCGTAGAGGGGTCCTATTTCGATTATTATTATATGTTTTTTGTTGGAAAGATATCGAGGACTTTTTATGGGACTTGAACTATGAAAATTTTACTTCCAAACGCTAAATTTAAAATTTGAATACGACCAATTTTTACTATTTTGTTTAACTAATATTTTTATGGTTTTTTGTTACATAATCAAAAAGTGAAGTTTAATGCGGCCTGTAGAAATAAGTTGCCCTCTTTCCAAAAGAAAAAAATATTGGACGTCTCTACGAGACAGGCGAGTTAATCCCGTAAAGCACGTTTTGAGTTTGAGCAAAAACAAACCGACGTTTTATTTTTCTATTAGTTGGCAACATAGTATATGCGTGAATACGGTGGGGTCTACGACGCCACGCCACATACAGCGGCGTACCAAGGCTTCTGTTACGGTTTGCGGCCGGTTAACCGGAAAATAAAGGGCCTTTCGTACGGGGGGCGGAGTAAAATATGTTTTCACCCGCTCTTAAAATATAAAAATTCCTTCAAAAAGTAACGTCGCAGCTACAACAATTTTATTAATAGATACGGGAATTGAGCTCTCTATATTTGTAAAATATAAAATTTCAATAAATAAAATAAGGCATTTTTATTTAATTAAATATAATATTTTTGTTTACATATTTAAAAGGCCGTAATATTTACGATTTTCGTCAAAACTTGATGCTAAAATTCTTAAATAATAAAAAAAAATATATATTATATATTAAACTCAACTTGTTATTGTTGATCACTCAGTACAACTTATAACGAACCTTTTGTTAAATTATCAATTCTGTTTGGTCTAACAATTTTTTCTACAGCATACCTACCACATAAATATTACGTAAAAATACTCGTATTAAAATGTCTAATAACTTAAAAATGGCTCAAATGTTTTGAACATTTTATCGTATCTTCTAAAAGGTAAATATAATGTTTCTGTCAAAATAGTTTTTATTCAGTAGTAACACCGACTGATTTTGATTATAGATTGTTTAAAAACAACCGAGTAATTATTCAATTGAATAGATATTATTGATAGAATGAACTAGTGGATATGAAATAGTCGATAGTGTCGTTAATAGTCGATAAGGTCGATAGTCGATAGTTTTTAAAAACTACCGAGTAAATAGATAGATGGTTTGAAATTATCGAGTAATTCGATAGTTCTCGGTAGTGCCCATCACTATGTGTCTCGTTACTGTATCAAGTGTAGCACCTTTTCTGAAAGGAAATTTTATCTACATATGGTACTTTGTACAAATTGTGAGTAAAAATTATTTGCTATTAATATCATATTTTTTAATAATTAAATTATTACATCATAATCATGAAATGTTAAATTGTATACGGCTGTATCTCGGGCAATTTTTGAGATAGCAAAAAAAATGTACCTATATTAGCCAAAGTGTTTTAAACAAATAGGACTATTCGAATATGGTACTAAAAAAGGTGTTACCATTTAAAAAATAAGGTAATTAGTATTGCATATGCTCGCGCCTGCAAAAGAGTTTAAATTTGAAATCCATCCTAAAATGTGTATTTAAATACTCACCTCTCGAAAACCGAATTTAAATCCAAGGTCATCGGTATAAGATATTTAGTGTTGTCTTTATCATTAAACACACTGTATACAATAAAAATATTTTCATTATACTTACCTACACGACTACACCAATAATTCTGGACATATAGTTTAGTGCACGTAATTATTTTGATATTTCAACTGAAAAACATTTACAAAGTTACAAAATGACAACAATGTTAAGCGAAATAAGTAAACAAATTTTTCGTCATCGACAATTATAAATATCGGTTCGATAAATGTCGAGCATCAGAGTTGTACTAAAAATAAATTCAAGTTTTATTTAAAGAAAATTGGACCAAAGTGTTTTAACGAATCAAATTGTAATGTTAAACGAACATTATTGGTAATTAATAAGCATTTAAAAAAAATTTAGCTGCACTATTCTTATCTGCTGTGTTTTTCTAACACGGTTTCCCAGTTATGTTTACATTGGTATTACAGCGGGTAAACATTCCAGTTATCATATAGAGATCAATGCCTTCACTCGTCTCACTACCTTATTCTAACAAGATCCGAAAAAGTTAACTTGTTATTCTCACGCACCCGTAATTTCAGTTGCATTTTATTCAGTGCCGTGGTGAAAAAATTCCGGGCCCTGGCACAATTACGGAAAGAAAAAAAAAAACCGATAAACGTTCAATGACGTAAAATCATCTTAAGGTCTGGCGCAATTGCATTAGGCCAACACCGGTCACTACGCTGCTGATTACACCCGCAGCGACACTTGTGCGTGTTAGCATTGTTATAGGCAAAATTAAAATTCGAATAATTTGAATACACGAAAACGAAATCGTTAATATTGAACTTTTAATGACAAACTTCGATTTAATCTGTATACATGTATAGGTAATAATATAATAATATAAGTATTAAGACTTTAAATATTATGAAAAATATTATATAATAACGATTATTTCAGTGATTAGGTTAACAAGTGATTATATAATACAAAATATATACCTCTATAAATGTATAATATCTATGTACATAATGTATTATATTCTGAATTTTATAAGAGGCCACTATTAATACGACATAGCGTTGACATATGGACCTCAACAATAAATCGTCGAGACTTAAATTTTAAATGTTTGTAATTTCTATGGTATGCGGTGTACACGCATTATACGAGCATGTGTATGGTGTGACACGAAGATCCGACACCTGAAATAACTTATGTTCTGTTCAATATTTTTTGGTTTTTTTTCATGTGATAGTTTCTAGAGAATGATTTCTAGAGCTATGATTTCTATGATTTATATTTTTCGTCAAATTAAATAAATCAAAATTGTTTTTACAAAATCTTAGGTAGCCAATTTTTAAATATATTTTAAAACACAATTTTGGTGTTATAAATAATTACTAACCTTCCATTTTTTGAAGTCTACAAAAATCACTAACAATGTTGTTTATGTGGATAAATTGGTCAATAGATTGATATTATTTAGTAGATGACAATGAATACAATTTAAATCACCGTTTAATTCCAAAAAATTCTAGAAAATTTACGATTCGTTATAGGTAAATATTTTGAACACCAAAGTTTTATTTCGAAATCCTCAATAATAAAATATATTTATAATATGGCTATTTTGGATGCTGTAAAAACCATTTTTTAAAAACTTGAAATTTTTTAGTTTTTACGAAAAATATAAAAATATAGAAATCATCGAGTAAGGGTTCAGTAATTATCATAGCAAAAAAATAATTAAAAACATTGAACAGAATAAAATTTATTTCAAATGCCAGAGCTTCGTGTTAAAACTTGTATACCATAGCCATACAGGGTGTTTCATCGTGTTTTGTCTCCGTTAATAGCCATTTTTGAATCTTGAATGCACGCATTATTAGGTTATTGATATTGAAGTCTAACCTTGCCTTATTATACGATAAGCAATGATAATCTAAAATCACATTTAAAACAATCAACAAACTATAGGAAGAAAGTTGAAAGATACCTTTTTGTATTTGTATACATTTTTTTTTTTTAATAAACGAAGTTATAATATTGTTAAGAATATAATTTGGTATCTGGCAGTATTATATAATATAATGTATAAGTAAAAAATTGTAAAATTAAAGACGTTCAAAACAGTGTATTAAAGAATTAGCAGAATAAATAAATAAATTAATTATCAGAATCAATTAAATTAATTTAATCTAATTAGATTAAAATCCGTATGAATCGAAAAAGATTTATCTTATTTATCCATAAGCTCTGTGTTATCTAATCATTGTTTTCTTGTACACTTATAGTACGGCACCATTACTCTTTTATTTGCCTTTTCGGTTGATGTCAAGATAATTTAAAATTAATTCCTTATATCTTTGGTACCAGGGAATAAGGGCTCAAGTTAATTTGTATAGTTTTAAATACAAGCGAATTCAATTTTGAGAATCGCCCAATGGCTAAATTATAATTGCTACATGATGAACTAAATAATATTTATATAGTCCGAGATTTTATCGTTTTATTTTGAAAATAGAATTTACCGCTATGTTATATTATAACGATGGCCTCTGATGATAATATAATACGTACATTATTATATTTGAATATATGATACACAAATTGATCTATAGATAATAATGCGTATAGCTATAGGTAACCTATGATGTATAAAATAATATAATCACTAATCAGGTATCATCACATGGTATTACAATAATATATTTAGTCGAATCGCTATTTATCGTAAGATATATTTATAACAAAAAAAAAAAAAATCCCTAAGTACGCTTAATAATTCAATAAAACGTTACATCGATGGTTTAAAGGCCGAATATAACAGTTATTTAGTTATACGTAATACTTATAGTATCATTGTTTTTTTTTGAAAATTGATTTTACATAATACCTCCACAGTCTATAGAATTTTTTTAGTATATTACGATCCTTCCGAATACCAACGTGTCCGAAGTATTATCGGAAATTTAAAACTGCGTTATTTTTACACGATAATAATATTATTAATAGCTCTCGCGAGCTGGTCGGCAGATTTTCGAATACACAATCTGAGATAATAACAAGTTCAACAAAATATTATGATGTACAATCATGCTATTATATAGATTATATGTAGGTAAAATATGGTGTTAACATTGCAACTTGCAAGCGTTCCTTTGAACGTATGTAACGTGTCTGGACAGGTAGGTTAGGTGGATATTATAACTAATAAACGCACAACGATTAAAACATTGTTATCATTTAATTATTATAAGAGTAGGTATATTATGCCAATAAAAAATGATAGTTTGTCCATATTACGATTTAATTCCATTTTTATAAGTCGTCCGTTCTGTTTCTACTGAAGAGTATTATTTTAGAAAAAAATATAAAGTTTAACTATAGGTAGTAAATTATATTTATTTAATTACGGTTGGTTTTACATTTGAACATTTTGAAAACTTCAAACGGCCCCCTGAAAAATGTGTCATTTATTGTGACGTAGGGTGTCATCATTTAATATTCCGCCTTCAAGCCATCGATGTAAACGCAATACTCTATTGGCGTATTCAGTTCGGTTAATGCAATTTCACGATCGTTACAGCAACTACTATTGCACGGTGGGCGTTGTAGATTAATTATTATTAAACCTAATAATTAATATCGATATGGTAATATAATTTTGTTTCGAAAAAATAAATATCACATTCAAATACACCAATTATAAATAGACATTTTAAGCGAAGGCATTATAAGGGTCCTCGGTTCATATACGCCAACGGTATCACGTGCGTTATACATCGACACGCAATTGAGTATAAATACTAGCAATTTAACAATTGGAACATCGTAAAATAATAACGAATTCTATAAACAAAAATTTGTGCACGACACTCGATGATAAAAATCGACGATGTTGCCCGTAAAAAACCGCAAGTGCGTTATTTAATGGTTGCCTATTCTATCCTATATATATATATGTACGTATTTATGTATATGATGTTAGTTGCATATAATAACTCAGTGATAAAAAACATGCCTGTTAAAAATAGCTAATAACATATTTTGATGATGAAAAGAAATAACTAAAACTAATAGTTTTAGAAAGACAATTTTTAAGGAAAATTTATGGCCCGAAAAATAATAACGAAACGTAGTTGTACAAGATTAGAATAAAGGTTCCCTTTTCTCTGCATATTTTTCGACGCAGTCATTTTTGTTTTTTCGATCAAACAACGTTCACTGAAATTATAGTGTTTGCGCAACTGTGATCTAATACACGTGTTTTCTTTTTATTTATTTTACAAATATCTTCATCACGATGGCAAAATTAATTTCGATAGTTTGGATTAAGAAATTAAGCTGGTTAGGCCGTGTAATAGGATCAAACTTAATATCAAAAAATACCCTAAATTGAAAACCTCAATGAGAGACGCCCCCAGGAAAACCTAAATTAAGGAGACTGGATAAAACTTAGAGTTTTGGAAAACTTAGGAGTAAGAAATTACAAGGAATAGGTATTGATATAAAAGACAAATGGAAATAATTGTGTGATGCAACGTTGGGCATAAATGATTTATAAAATTGAATGAAGATATTAATAATAAAAAATATTCATCTATGAGCTGAGTTTAAAGAAAAAATATTTAATTGTATGTTAGGGTACATAGGTTATAGTGTATATTTTATAAGTAAGCCGTGCTTCCCACGGTTCTTTCTTTGGAAATTTATCTTAGCCGCCTCTCTATAATAAATTCTTAAACGCATTACTGTATCCCACAATTGATTTATTTTTAAAAAACGTTGATTTTTCCTTATTGTTCTATGTAAAGTACTTATACAAGGTCATACAAGTAAGTTTTATGTTATAGTTTTGGGAGTAGAGTAATGAGAACTCCATCATACTCCGTCTCTCAAAACTGTAACATATAATTTGGGCTATTTGAAAAACCCTGTATTAGTGGGTGATATCAGTTAGGGTGTGTAGTTTTTAATATAAATTACATGTTTTTTTCATGTTTAAATGTTTTTTTTTTACTATATTAAGCAAATTTATTAACAGATTTCCCAGGTTTATACAGGCAACCGTTTGGTTTTTGTGGGGCGATTGATAGTCTCGCGTTTTGACCACGAGTGTCGCGTATTTTCATTTATAGTCGGTATTTGATAACAAATAATAATAATAACTATGATAATAACAATAATAATAATAAGTATATATTGTTAATCATTGTATACAACATTAACGACCAAGATATAAACATAAACAGTTTACAGTATATTAAATAACATGAAATTATTCATTTTTTTTACCCTGATTTTGAACTATATTACCGAACAAACAGCATTTTATATATTATTACTTAATATTTTTAACGATCTAAAAATGTCGACGATTGGTATGTACACGTAGTCTATTATTATTGCTAAAAATTATATTATTAAAACTATTAAATATATTATTTTTTAATTCTAATGTAGTTTAACGTTTTGTTGTTATTTTATATTATTATTCGTAAGATACGAATAGGTATGTATAATATATATATGTATATAAAAACAATTAGATTTCTTATAACGATTTATGTTGTATTCGGTTTTACTTTTTCAAAATAATTGCTCGATTATTATTATTATTTATTAATTTATTATAACTTTCGATACCTATTACTATTATAAGGCTATAACAAATAAATAATATGCGAAAAAGTAAAACCGATTGAATGCAATAGTGAATATTTTATAAAATTACATGGTTAATAACAGTAAAAATAAACTGGATACAGCTAAAAACAAATTAGATGAAGTCCTATATGGGATTTCTCACAGAATACCGTAAATTCATATTATTCGTGGATTCGATTAGACGTAGGAAACAGAGACGCTCAGAAGAGCTGAATAATAAATTAATTATATAAAGGGCACGACTGAAGGGAAGAGACAAATTACTATATGTACAACCTCATCATAACACACACATATATATATATATATATATATATATATATATATAAATATACAGAACGAATTCAAAATGACGCAGCTAGAGATAAAACTAGAAAATAAAAAAAAATTTAAATAAAATAATAAAAGACAAGCGATCGATTTTAAGAAAAAAATATATATATATATATATATGTATAAATAATAATTCTTTGGTTTCAAAAAAAAAAGGTTTAAGCGTTTCAGCCAATTTCATAATAAAAATTTAAAAAATGTGAACGAATTACGGAAACTATGAAAAAAAAATTATATAGGAAAATTATTAAACAAAAAATGCATAAAATTGACTTCGGTGAACTCTTCTTTCTCGGAACCAAAGAGTTCATCGCATTTAACTCATTATACGAGACTAACATCAAAATCCTACGATTAAACTATGAGACACGGATTAAAACGAAAAGAGTAATATTATTTTATTTTCCATCCGTGTGTGCTCTCTCGATTGATTCTTTTTCGCTGTTCTGAAGAGAATAACTACCGAGACTGATGTGTTATCGTGTTTTAATAATTGCTTATTAAATAATTTATACTATGAAATCACGACTTATATTTAAATATTGTAACCGCTTTCTAAGTATCTAAGTACGGCGCTGATTTTTATAAATGTTAACAGAAGTAACAACAGTCTATAATAATGTATATAAACTATACTATAGTACTAAACAGAAGTTGATCAATATCTGCAATCCGGATTCAAAAACATCGATTGAAATAGCCATTTAATCCGGATTACGTACTATGATGATTTCATTTGGCGTTCCGGATGAATCAGACGAGGAAAAAATAAAATAAAATGTATAACATTTATCAAATAATTCTTACGAAAACTAAATATGTTTTAGACGGTCAGAATAATAAAATCAATCCGGTTTATACCACATCGAATTAGTAATCTGGTGTTGGGATTGTTCCTGATTAATTATTTCAGCACTAGTGTATAAACCGATTAGAATTCGGTTTAACAAAATATTACGTATGTTATAATTACGTTGCAAAAATTAAGAAAAAAGTTTTAAAATTGATTAGAAGATCATATGTTTCACACACATATGTATAACAATATAAAATACCTAGTTTTAATAAAAATTTAATTCCAACGAAATCGTAATAATGTTTTAAAATTTACCTATCTAATGTTTTATTTTTTTCATTTTTTTTTTTTTTTTTTTTTTACCATATTGTTTGTGTTGTGTATTTATAACGAATGCTGTATTCAACGAATAAATTAATAAATTCTTTTTTCGTCCGTTATATAATATAACAATACTTTGTCTCTGATCATATTAAAACTATTTAACTGTACAACGTTGTTTAAACGTTCTTATAATTCTATTATTATCTCGTATATGCGAGTAAAAAATCAACAATATCTAATATAATATCATAATATAATGTAATATGAAAACTCTGTATTTTTACAACGCGAACTATATGGTTTGACAAAACAATATATCTTTGGTCCCGGGGGAAAAAAGGGCTCGTATAAATTGTGCACAGTTTTCAATGCAAGCAAATTGGATTTCGAAAATTGCTGAACGACACAACGGAATAATTATTAAACGGGTTAACCTAAATGCAGCTGGCGTTTTAAATGGCGGAAGTCATACGTATGACTATATGGGTACGACGTCTGTTTTTGCGAAACAAAAGTTATGGCTCTAATAGTCGATACATTATAAAACGATTTTAGATAAAGTATTTTCAGTATAACACGCGTTAGAGTACACATAAGCGATTTAGACCGAATAATAAATCGCGCAAAACGCAACGATAAAAAATTTAAAAATGCCGAAAATTGACTGGAGCCCTTTTCCCCTGGAACCAAAGGCGTAATAATGAAATATCAACGACGTCATCGTATGCGAATATTTCAAATTAAAATAACGGTATAATAATAATAATATCTAGTATTTAATAGAAAACCGAATGAAAACATTAATTCGCGAACGGCCCTCGGTCGGACGGTACGAAATCCCACGAATTAATTGAAACTGAACGATTCAGCGGGAAAATTGTGCGAGTTATTACATTTTAGATACTCTTCGGCCGAGAGCGAAATGCCTCCGCGGGGTACTAGCGGATAAAAGACGAATTTTTCGCCGTACAGGCGATGATGCAGTCAAAATATAACTGTTTATTGGATAATCTATTATGTATTTAAAATTTCAATTGGCCGTTGAATAACCGTAAATGATTTTGGCTATTTATTATGTATCGCGCATTTGTTTTGACCGTTCACAAATAACATTGCAATATTTACGCATACCTAGGTATGTATATATATATATATACATACAATCGAGATTCAAGCGTGTGGAGAAGTAAGAGTGTGTTTCTCGGGGCCTAAGACGCGGGCCCTAAACAAATTAAATCGAGCGGGTATTATTATTATGCGTCGATCGAAGTTTTGATAACGCGTTTAATTCGTTTAAAAAAAAAAAAAAAATCGTCTGTCGTGTAGAGGTTAGCGAGGGGGGGGAGAGGGGGGAGGTGGGGATTGTCCCTGTAGTTGAGGCGGGCCCCGCCGACGTTCTAATACGCCTTCGGACGGTCCCGCGACAGGACAGGACGAAATCCCCGCGACAACGCGTGCGTTCGCATCGTTCGCCTCGTAATACGCCTAAATATTATTGTACCTAGGCGCGGACAGAACGGTTCGCGCGGTCATCACGAACCGATCGGCGGACGTCGTCGTCGTCGTCGTCGTCGCCGTCGTCGCCGGGACGTCCGCCGACTGCCGGCGGTGTTGTTGTACGTTTTCGGCTGCGGCCGGCGGTGCGTGCGAGATCCGCGGCCGGCCATCAGACCGTGGTGACGCGATCGTATTCGACGTAATGCACTACGTCGGTGACCTTATGTCAGTAAACCACGTCGCACGCGGCCACCCCGGCGGCGTCCGCGGTCCCCGGGGCTTTGGCGGACCGGCAGCGGCCCGACGGCGGTGCCGCGGCCCCGGACGCCGACCGGAACCGCCGGAACCAAAGCACCGTCAGCCCCGACGACACGGCCACGATGGCGATGGCCACGGTGAGCGCCACGCTGTAAAACAGGTGCGTGTACAGTAGGTGCATGCAGTATCCGAACGACTCGTCGTAACCCGACGGACAGTGTTCCACGCCGTCGCACCACAGCGTCTCGTTGATGCAGGCGTCCAACTCCGGGCACTGGCTGTGGCAGTAAGGCCCGTCCGCCCGAATCCTGTGAACGAAACACAACGCGACGTTGTAATGTCGAAGAACAACACGCGCCGTTTTGTATATACCGACGGCGCTATACCGTCGGCATTTCGCGCGAGAACGCCGCGTCCGCGGAATCGATATCGTAATAAACCTGTAATGGCCGTGTCCCGACCCGGGGGGGGGTTTCTCGCGCCATTGTCGGACGGAAATGAAAACTGGCGGAAAACGGGCGGTTCGGCCAGTCAGTACACGATATATCGCCCCACCTGCGGTATCGAAAAGGATTGTCACGCAACGCTGATTTTCACACCGCATCGGTATTGAATATACGAGGGCTGATCAAAAAGTATCGAGACTGATAATATTACTCGGAAACCGAGCGTTGACGAGCAAAACGATTTGTAAACCTAGCTTCTATGACTTATACTGAGCACATCTATTCGTGTAAAATCTCTATAAACTTCTTCGTTTCGATTTGACGATATTTTTCTAAAATTTGTTTTTCACGTTTGGCGATTTCGTAATGAATCCAAAAGAAGCGGAACTCGCTGCCACTCGAGGGCACATTTTCAGTTTTTCAATTGATATTTAATGGCGAAAACCATGAAATGTTGCATCCCTCTGAAACTGGAAAAAAATGTAGACACATTTTCTAAAATCTCCAAATCTGTCAAGTTACTCTTCTTTTGGGTTTATTACAAAACCGCCAAACTCGAAAAATATATTTTATAAAAATATCAGTGAAATCAAACCGAAGAATTTTATAGAGAAGCAATAAAAACAAATGTACTCAGAAAAAGTCATAGAAGCAAGTGATATCAATCCTACTGCTCTTCGATGCTCCTTTTCCGAATGATACTACCAGTCTTGATACTTTTTGATTAGCCCTCGTAAAGTTTTTTTTCCGTTGTGTATGTACTGTCGCCAGATCTGACACATGCCTACGCTTATGTTTTTATCGACTCTATTACTCGTATTACTGATACGGACGCGCGCATATTATTATATTGACATGTTAGTGTTTTTTTTTTTTTTTACTCCGGATAAACAAATTGTGTTTCGCCGAAACATTCGCTCGTCAATACATCCGTTCGCCGAAAACGATTCGTCAAAATGTCTTTCGCCGCATTGCCTTTCGCCAAGATGTCCTAGATCCGTCCCCAGTATCAGCTCGTTTTCGTATGTGCGGCCGCATTGATTTTGATTATTAATTTCTGGAATTCGGTCTTCAGCAAATAATTTTGATACTAATACGAGAGGACGTCAGTGACGAATATTTAAGGGGTTGTGCATTGGCAGTTTTTTCGGATAGTTTGAAAAAACGAGAACGTACCGTTGAAGACAGATTCTAATTCACTTGCGCTTAAATTGGGTCTCGGGTTCTTATCATACGTATTTATGAAACTCGTTCAAAACAGATGTTCGCGTAAAACGCTCCGATTTGAATATACTTTTTTTCGTTGCACGAAAGAGTAAAATTTTTTACAGGTAACATTGAACTTTGATTTTTGATTTATTTATATAAAATGGAAAAAATAAAAAAAAATAAATGAAAATAAGAAAAATTGGAGTTTTTCAGACGCTTAATAGAATTTCTAGGAATTAGAATTTTGAAAATCTGAGTGCAACGTGACCTACAAAATGTCTTTCTTTTTCAAATAATAATAATAAAAAAAAAAAAACCCGTCAAAATCTAACTAATCTTACGAGTCGTGAAATTTTTTCCCGCGAGATATGGTTTTTGTACAAATAATGTAGGGAAGTTCCGACATAAATTGTTTTTTTTTCGAGTTTTTTTCGATGAATGGTTTTAGATTCTAAAATTTAGGAGTTTCAGAAAAAAATGCAAGTGAATAAAAAGCATATGGAAAAAAAGCAAGTGGAAAAAAAGGCAAGTGGTAAAAAAGTAATATATATATTTTACACATTATAATATAAAAAGTAATATTATTGGTTAGTCCTGCATATTATATAGTACCATACATCACCTATGTGGAACCTATACAATATTTTAATATTATCGACTATATTATTATAACATATTCAATGATAATGTTTTAAACGTTATCACAAAAATAATTATCGGAGCAAGTTATCGAAATCTGTAGACCATAATCGAAATCGAATAAAAATTGTTTAAACGCATATCATATACGTTTTAAATAAATAAATTTTTTTATAGGTACCTATATATTTTTTTACACTCTATGTATAATATCCATGTGTATACATTATTTACTTTATTTTTAAATTTAGAATTTTTTTTTTTTTTTTAAATTAAATACAAATATATTATTATTGTATCTATGCATGATACAATGCACTATTATTTCACATGACTTATTTTATAATATACCAATAATAATGCAATGTACCCATTTATTTTGAAAAATAAATAATTATAAATTATAAATCGTGCTTGTAAAAATCCAAATTTTTTTTTTCCAACTGTTCTTATTTCGAGACAAAATATTTAGATAAGTTATTTTTCCCACTATATCACGCTATAGCCATACGTTTATTTTAAGTCGATTTTTATATATTTCGTACTTGCACTACAATAGTAGTCATTTTTGTTACTTTCGATTATGAACTGCAGATTTTGATAACTTGCTCCGATAATTATTTTTGTGAAAACTTTTGAAATATTGTCATTAAATATATTATATTATTTAATATTATATTAATATATTATATAGATAAATATAAAATAGTCAATGGTATTGAGATATAGTGTAGGCATTATATAAAATTATGTAGTACTAACCAATAATATTACTTTTTATATTAAAATATTTAAAATAAATATATTGCTTTTTTACAAGTTGCTTTTTTTCACTTGCTTTTTTTCACTTGCTTTTTTTCACTTGCTTTTTTTCCGAACCCCAAAATTTAGAGTATTGATATTATGTTTTTGATAATCGATATTGAATATTCTTGATTTTGTATTTTTTTTTTTCATGCTATTCTTCTGTTTTCTTTGGATGTGTATAATTGAAATGATTGATTGATTGATTTTTTTTTAAATTTACATTATTGTAAATCCACGTATAGCTATTTTAAACCACATTTCAAATAATCAAACCTCGTTTATAAGGCAATGGATTGCCCTATACCTATCCTATACTTTCCGATTTTCCCACCTATAATAGTAGATTATTAATCATTGGCATTGTTACCTATGCGGGGCGAAATATGTCCGGCTTTTTAATAATTATTTTTAAGCATGTATATTATACAAATAAATAAACATCATGTGATTTCATAGAATAATATTTCGGAAAAAAGATCTAAAAAACACAGCCATAGCTGTTACAAACGCAAATACCTGGACGAGAGTTGTATCCAGGATACGGTATATGATGCCGGTTCGATGGGTATAAATTCGATGATGATATCCCGCGACGAATTCGTTACAGTTTCCTTAGTGCGCCATCCGTCCGAAAACACCTACAGCAGTATATAATGACAATCATGCGTACAGAGTGTTCAGTGGGCGTGTTCCAGTTCAAAAGAGTTGTTGGAATATTAATTACTACACGTATTAATACGAGTAAGTCAATAATAATGCGGCGAGAACGAATGTCCTAAGTTTCACTCTTAGTGGCCTACCTTTGTCTTATTATTATTATTGTTTGTTGATACTAATATAAAAATAATTTAATATACTTCCAAGCTGATCAAATTTTGTTTAATATTTGCATAACTATAAATCGCTATCAAATTATGTACGATTGTCAAGTAGGTGAACACTTGTTCAAGTATAGGCGGTATATCCGTAAGTAACAATAAATGTACCATCAGTATGTAATGTGAATAAAAATGTATTTGATGTTATAAAAAGTTTAACGCTATACTTATTAAATTAAAAATATTCAAATATTATGGACTTAGATATAAAATATACAAGCTGATAAAATACATATTGATCATGTTTTAAGTATTTATATTTTATGAATGTGTATTTTATTTAAAACTTTTTGTCATTATCACTATCAATGTAGATTAAAAATAATATACAATAATAATAACAAAGGTAGGCTTCCAATAGTGAAACTAAGGACTTCATATGCCATTGCTGATTATCATTTATAATGCAGTAACAGATATTGGAGGGGGCGATTGTTGTATCTCCCCTCCCCCCCCCTGTTGGAGTTTTA